CAGAGGGGAGCTACAGCGTGGGTGGCTCCTGGAGCTAGCACCAGCCAGGACTGCTCAGTCCCAGCTCGAGCTGGATTCTGGAGATACTTCTGCTGCGGCTCTGCAGAGTGGTCCTACTGACTAATTATGTAGTTGATAAACATTTTATCTACTATGTGATTAGCTTGATAACTGCATTTTAACATCTTTAAGCAGCTCCTCAAAAGGTATATGGGTAAAAGGTTCTAGAGACGTGTACCCCCATTTGGTAAAATCTAGGAATTCGCAGAAGAATCCGTGATTCTGTGTCAATCTATGGGCCTGACCCAAAGCCCATTGTTGGCAGCAGAAAGTCTCCCACAGATAAACGAGACTAATTGGCACAATAAATAGCTATCCCGGAGTACTGCCACTCAATACAAAATTAGAGAGCTGGAAAAAACTGGAAAGTTTTTAAAGTGTAATTTAAGTAGTATTTGTGGGAGTGGTAGCTCATGGTTGTTTGCTCACAGCAGGAAAGATTGCAGGTTTTTTTATTCTGCAGCACTGCTATGCTTTATTTTCTCCATTTAAGTGTAGACATTGAGGGGGGAAATTAAATTCTACAACTTTTAATTGATTTCATTTTCAGTGTCCTAGTGCTCCAATGTTTGGGTTTCAAACACTGCCCAAGAGTCTTGGTCTAAGCACTATTTTCAGCCTTTTAAAAAAAGTGTTGGAACCTTTTTGTAGTCTATGATTTTATAACTTTGTTTAAAACAAATAAGTTATAGATGCTGGAATTATGGGTCCTGGGGTGCAGCACTCCCTGGCTAGAAGTGATTTCCATGATACACAGGGCTAGCACAACGGCTGCAAGATCTCTAGATTATTCTTGAGCATATTTTTAGAGATCCTTCTAATGAATAACAAAAGAAATGTTCAGATTATGTGTTGTAACTGTGGTCTTTCATCACTAACGTAAATGGCTCTTTAATAAATTTTGGGTTACGAATTGTTCAGATTGGTTTGGGTTTATATGCACTGAAGGATTTCTAGAAATAGCTATTAGAATTAAACTGAAAGGATTTGAGAGAGTAAACATCACTTCAATGAAATTCATGGATGGGACTCAATTTTGTGAGACTCTGCCACCATCAGAAAGGCTGGGTCTACACTGGCATGATTTTGCACAAGAACTCTTTTGCGGAAGAGTTCTTGTGCAAAAACTCTTCCAGAAGAGAGCGTCTACACTGGCATGTGCCTTTGCGCAAGAGCATCCTTGCCAGTGTAGATGCTCTCTTGCGCAAGAAAGCTCTGATGGCCATTTTAACCATAGGGCTTTCTTGTGCAAGAAATTCATATTGCCGGTCTACACTGGCCTCTTGTGTGAGAACAGTTGCACAAGAGGGCTTATTCCTGAGTGGGAGCATCATAATTCTTGTGCAGAAGCCCTGATTTCATACAGTAGAATGTCCGTGTTCTTGCACAAGAACTGGCGGCCAGTGTACACAGGCAGGAAGTTTTGGCGCAAAAGCAGCTGCTTTTGCGCAAGATCACACCAATGTAGACACGGCCAAATATTAAAGTAAGTAAACAGGATCTAAGATGACTTACCATTTGGGGTAATGTAGAGGAGATGTAGCACAGAAGAACACAGCTATTAAATAAAATAGCTTAAGGGAAGCAACAGTTGTTTGTACCTGCATCTACAAAGGAGTAGTAGCTTCTCATAAAGTGTGCTAGGCAGGCCCGCAGATGTGGGAGGGCAGAGAGGGCAGTTGCTCCAGGGCCCAGTGTTTCCAAGGGGCTCAGGACTCCCACCTGCCTGTTGCTGGTATTAGAGTGGTATTAGAGTTGCCACATGTCCGGTTTTGAACCTGACAGTCCAGTATTTGAGCTCTCTGTTCAGGAAACAAATTGAGAAAATATAAATGAGAAAATATATATGTCCAGTATTTTCTAAATAAAATGTAATGTAGATTGTGATGTAATGTCAAGTGTGTCCGGTATTTTTATTGAAACCATCTGGCAACCCTAAGTGCTAGAGAAGAAGAAAATTCCATTCCTTTGTAGTAAGCAGTGAACACAGCATGGTTAATGTAGTGTTAACCATCATGCTATTGTATGAGCCTGTTGTAGATATCTTAATTGAATTTGGTGTACTTTTGAAATGTATCTGAATATCTTTGGCGGTATTAAAACAATCTAGAAATGCAATTTCACATTCATATGCAAGATCCCCTGTTCAGTTCATATTGAGCATTCTGGACTTAGTGTCTGATTGTGTGTACTCCAGTAGGCACACTGTAATCAAAGGAGAAGATGTCCATTAGCTGCTGATTATTACTTCTGGGCTCTTTCTTATGAACAGGTATTGCTGTCCTTTTGTGCATGAGAATGAGCAATGTTTCCTGAACAATTTTTTGCAGTTAGTGCTTAATTGGGTGACTACTCCAGATCTTCCTCCATTTTGTACCAAATAAATGTTCTTGTTTAGCCCTCCCACCTTCCGATGTAATCATTCAAATGGATACTGAGATCTGTGTTTAAAGAAAAACAAGCACTCTGGATATTTTAAGCGATATTACTATAGATTACAAATAATCTGTATTGTTTCTAGAATCAGGACAGCTTTTTGGAAGCAGATTGACATAGTACCCTTCATGTCTCTCCATCGGTGCTGAAGCAGTAACTCATTGTTTAGAATGATATTAAGATACTTTTTCCATTTTAAAACACAGCTGTTTTATGTCTGCTCTTCTTCACAAGCTGATAGACTAGGAAGCCTTCCTTATTCTTAGCATGATTAAGCCCTGTTTTATTTGATCTTGAAGCTGGGATATCCTACTGCATTAGTGTTCTAAATCTATTGAAATGTATTTTTGGTACCATCCCAAGTTCATGGACATTGACTTACTTTTATGATAGTAATATCAAACTGTGATGCAGATCTTTTAACTCAACATGCTGATCCCGTCTGATCAGAATCATAGATGCTTACTTTATTGGCTAAAATAAATCTTCATTAGTATCATAAAACCAAAGCAGGACAGGTAGCTAAACTCTTTTCTGAGTCATTTGTCATCTCAGTTTGATTTGTGGAATATTTAGCATCAGTGTGATCTAGGATAATCCAGATCCAGGTTGAAGTTCCGTAGCTGGATGTGGATAAGGTGAGAATTACCTGAAGTAGGAAATTACTTATTGTAATGAGAGAGCTATTCCCAGTTTCTAACCATATCCATTTTATTCTTCTTATAATTTTCCACTTCTCCACTTCAGGTATTCTCACGTTTTTATCCACATTGACCCTGATTGAATGAGCTCTGTAACACTCCCATATTATCCCTCCTGTCTGTTTATTTTTCTTTCACTTCATGTGCCTGATGAAGTGAGTTGCAAATCACAAATGCTTATGTCATAATAAAATTGTTAGTCTTTAAGGTGCCATTGGACTCCTGGCTTTTGCTGTAACTGACCAATATGGCTACCTCTGAAACCAGTTTGAGAGTGAGAAATTAATACAGGCAGTCCCCGGGTTACGTACAAGATAGGGACTGTAGGTTTGTACTTAAGTCGAATTTGTACTGAAGTCGGAACTGGCATCCAGATTCAGCCGCTGCTGAAACTGACCAGCGGCTGACTACAGGAAGCCCGAGGCAGAGTTTCTCTGCCCCGGGCTTCCTGGAATCAGCTGCTGATCAGTT